TTCCCACAATTGCGGCTATGGGCGGTAAAGAAAGCAAATCCAATATTTTCATTTGTTGAAGAATGATATTGTTCCAACCGCTTCTCATGATTTAAGAAGCATGCTGCAGAGAGCTTCAAAGGAGGGTAGCTGTAACAGTCCTAAAATTTCAAAAAAAAAAAAAAAAAAAGGAGAAAATATGCTTTTAAATAGGTGATGGTCTGATTGAGTATGATGGTCCTTGGGGACCATCACTATTTTCAAAACTTTTTACTTGGTTTAAACTTTTGCTGCTGTTTGCAGCCTTTGCAGTTGCTGCTTGCAACTGGCCACGTCCTTTAGCGGACGTGGTTTTCGTATGTTAAAAGCAGACGCTTAACGCGACACCTCAGGTATGAGGTAGAGCGTAATAAAATATTATAATAATACGTTATAAGAATTTAAATAGGGGAGGTGAGCACTCCCACCCTAGAAAATTTTGAGATCTCTCTCTCTCTGGTCGAAACACAGTGAACTCCTCTCTCGAACCGAATTTTTTATCGGAAGCTCCCTCTCAAACAATTGTGGGTAAGTGACATCGTCTTTCTGAAAAATAGTCTATTTTTAATAAATAGTGATATTTCCGTCTAGGATCTTTATTTTATCAGTTTTGTGTGTAAGTGACCTCATTGTCTCGAAAAATAATCCATTCTTTTTAAAAATAAAATGAAATAATTATTTCTGCTTATTATCATGAATTTTAGGCGCGATACATTTTATGCGCACGTGACCTCATTATCTTGAAAAATAATCTTTTTGATAAAAATTGTGATATTTTATCTATGTTAGAAATTTTGAATGCTGTAAATTAGAAAAATAAATTTATTTATTTTTCTTGTTTATTGTTAGAAATAAATGTGATATTTCTGCTTTTAGTAAAAAAATAAATTGTGATATTTCCTTCTACTGTTTTGAATATTTAGACATTGAAAAATTCATGTGCAAATGACTGCCTTATTATTTAAAAATTGACATTTTTGCAGTTGATTATAATATTGTTGTGAAATGTTTATTTGTGGATTGATATCCTATAAATTGTGATAATTTCGTATTCTTGAATTTCTGTAAGAGTTTTTCTATACATATAAATTGGCAATTATACTAGAATGCCTTCACAAACTGCTACCTTTCTAAATTTGAGCCCAAAATATTTGATTGGTTATTTTTGAAATATTATAGAGAGTGACTGTTATTAATGGTTTAAGTGAAATTCATATTAATGGTTTCAGTGATATGTTGAGTACATGATATTGCTGCTTCCAAATGTTTAAAGAGATTTAGAAATAATTTAAGTATGCAAGTGGACTCATCCGGTACGCCGGTGAGGTATAAGTGGACCTATCTGGGATGCCGATAGGGATTAAGTGGACCCATCATAATACTGATGGGGTATATAGGTGACCTACTTGGGACGCCAGTAGGGTATTTTGTGAAATCCTTTGAATTATGTACTGCAGTTAAAAGTGTTATAAGCATTTCAATTACTCGGATTATACTTAATTATGCATTTATTGAAAGTGAAACTGTTAGATACATTTCTGTTAATAGATCTCA